ATGCGTGTCCTGGCGCATTTTGGCATGCCAACCGCTGCAAAATCAATAAATAAATAAATACTCGCCTCGTTCCCGGCCTCGTCCTGGCCTCGTCCTGTCCCGTTCTAGCCTCATCCTGGCTCCTAGCTAACACATCCTGTATGGCACCACCAAGCTCATTAATAATTAATAACGAAATTGCCAGGCAACCTCTCTACGCCGCTTGTACTTTTGCCAGGAAAACCATTTAGTTGCCCAAATTCACAGAGTTTTGCCTACAAAAAATAATTAAAACTTTAATTTCCTGCTAAATTACAAGAGTAAATTGATTTTACAAATTAAGATCTGAGATTAGTTTAATATTTTAATCAAATACAATTCTGGGGGTTTAAAATGGTTTCAAAAGCTTGAAACTAAGTGAAGGAGTCATTTCCGACCCCATAAACCATATATATCTTGATCAGGATTAAAAGACGAATCGATTGAGCCATGTCCGGGCAAAATTTAATTTTTTCAAATTTTTTTAAAATTTTACAAGGGGTTACATCATTAAAATTTGCAAAAAAAATTAATAAAAAATTGAATTTTTAAAATTCTTAACTGAGTAAGCAGAATTGTAAAGCTAATAAAAACTAGCATAGGAACGGTTTCCGAATTAAAATTAATGCTTTTTGGCTGAGTTATGAGATTTTTAAAGATTTTGTCAAAATTTTATCAAAAATATTGATTCAAAGAAAGCGAATATTTTAAGCTTATTTATGTTAAATAAATAAACTAAATACTTTTTTAGAAGAATATTTTAAATTAGTTTAAACAATTAAATAAACCCTTTTTGGTATTCTTATTTTTCCAGAGCCCAGCAACTACACCTGCTCCACGTGCAAGACCCGCTACACCTCCGCCTGGCGCCTCATCCAGCATGTCCAGCACTCGCATGGCGTCAAGATCTATGTGGAGAGTCCGGGAGGCAATGGTAATGGAGCCACCTTGACGGTGGCCACTCCGGCGGCTCTGAATAGCAGTGCATTGGCTCTGGCTGCCGCTGCAGCAGCTGCAGCTGCCGCCGCCTCGGGTCTGTCGAGTCCACAGCCAACGGCCATGAGTCCCAGTCCCAAGAGGAGCAGCCCAGGAGCTCCAGGCATCCTCTCCAGCTCCGTGAGCTCCGTCTGTTCCAATTCGCTGGTGAATACCAGCGGTGGCAGCAACAACACCAGCACCAATAGCATTGGATCGCCCCAGCATCAGCATCAGCAACAGTTGCAGCTGCAGCAAGTGCAACAGCAGCAGCAGCAGCACAGCAGCAGCAGCAGGCCGCCAGCAGCAGCGTGTGCAGCAACAGCAACGCGAGAATCTGGCCTCGGCCATGGCCGCTGGAATGAGGCATCATCCTTTGTTGCCGCCACCGGAGGCCATGCATGCCAATCCCTTCCAGCTGCTGCGCATGCCACTGCCCGGCAATGTAGTTCCTACGGTGGCCCCACTTTCGGTCGCCCCTCGCCCGCCGATCACTACCGGATGGAGAGCAGCTGGTTAGCGAGCAGTTCCGTCATCATGGCTTCAATCTGGCCGCCGCTGCGGCCGCTGCCCAGGCTCAGGCCTTCAATGGTGCTGTCCAGCAGGTCCAGGAGCCGCGTCCCCCATCGTCCAGCAGCAGTGGCAGCCAGCGTGGCTCTGTACCACCGGCAGCCCTGCCACCAGTATCCCTCAGCTCCCAGCAGCAGCAGCAGCAGCAACAGCAGCAGCAGCAGCAACAACAGCAGCAGCAGCAACAGAGCGTGCAACAGCAATCACAGAACCTGCAGCAGCAGCAGCAACAATCCCAGCAGCAGCAGCAGCAGCCACCGCAGCAGCTCACACCCGGCCTGATGGGCGGCAGTGTGGCTGGAGCTGGGGGAGCGGGAGCTCCTGCTGGCGCCTCCCTGAAGCTGGAACCACAGCAGATGGATTTTTACTCGCAGCGATTGCGTCAGCTTGCGGGCACAACAAGCCCTGGAGCTGGCAGCACTGTTAACTCGAGCTCGCCGAGTCCACGACAGAAGCAATCGCCGCATTTTGCGAGCCCCTCGCCAGCCTCCGCCGGCGCCCAGCAGCAGCAGCCCCTGGTGGGTCATCCCACCCGGCCCCATTCTCTTACCCGCCCGAAAAGATGACCACATCGGTGGGTGGAGCTGAAAATGGTGGCCTAGGCGGTCTCATCCTGGCCAGCACTCCACGCTCGGCCAGCACGCCGCCCTCGAAGACAAGCAACAGCGGCCAGGAGCAGCAGCTTCTCCAGCCGGAGCATTGCTTCGCCTGCGACTACTGCGACAAGAAATTCCGCTTCGAGAACAATCTCATTATCCACCAGCGGACGCATACCGGCGAGAAGCCCTACAAGTGCACCGCCTGTGACTTTGAGTGCTCCCACATTCAGAAGCTAATGAAGCACATGCGTGTCCATCGCAGTCCCGCCGATGAGCAGGACGATGGCAGCAACGATGGCGCCGATTCGCTGGAAACGAATGAGGCGGACAACGATGAGGATCCGATGCCAGATGAGTCCGAGGAGATGGGTGACAATGATCCGACAATGATCCCGATGGCGATCTCGATGGCGAGGAGGAGGATGAGGATGAGCTGGACGAGTGCGAGGATATGGACTACAAGGCGGAGGATTTGAGTGTTAGCAATCGCTTGGATGGCAAGAGCCAGAGTCCCAAGACCACCAGCTCCGGCGCCACCTCGCTGGTGGGTGAGCTCATGGATAAATTTGGATTGTCCAATATTGCCCAGTACAGTGAGGCCTACAAGCAGGCTCTGCAGGAGTCCGGACGCAAGGAGGCAGCCGCCGCTGCTGCAGCTGCAGCTGCTGCTGCCGCCGCCGCTGCTGCGGATAACAATAATCGCAGCGGCGGCGGAGGAGCCGTAGGAGCTACGGATAAGCTCAATGGTCTGCCTGTGGCTGCCCTGAGATTGAGGGATGAGTTTGCCAAGAACTGCAACATGTTCCAGCAGGATGCTGCCGCTGCGGCCGCTGCTGGCGGTGCCCCGTCGCAGGTGCCCCTCTTCAATCCCTTCCCCAATCCCTTCGAGCTGAGCAAGCGGATGAAGATGGACGGTGGCGACTGGTGGGGCATGTCCCAGGCCCTGCATCGCAACGAGGCGGCGCTCTTCGAGAACCTCAAGCTGAAGCCGCTGGGTCTGGGTGGAGCGGCCAATTCGCTTATCCAGGGACCGCTGCTCAAGAAGGAGCCGCCAGCGCAACGATACCTGCGAGTTCTGCGGCAAGGTCTTCAAGAACTGCTCCAATCTCACCGTGCACCGCCGTAGCCACACCGGCGAGAAGCCGTACAAATGCGAGCTGTGCTCCTATGCCTGCGCCCAGAGCTCCAAGCTGACGCGACACATGAAGACGCACGGGCGGGGCAAGGATGTGTATCGCTGCCGTTTCTGTGACATGCCCTTCAGTGTGCCCTCGACGCTGGAGAAGCACATGCGCAAATGTGTGGTGAATCAGGGCAAGGCGGCGGCAGCTGCGAATGCTGTCGCCGCAGCTCAGGCAGCCCAGGCGGCGGCCCAGCAGCTACAGGCAGCGGCAGCGGCCCAGGCGGCCAGCAGCAGCAGCAGCAGACAGCAGCAGCAGCAGCAACATGGACAGCAGCAACAGCAGCAGCAGCAGCAATTGTCGCCCATGGGGTGGTGGTTACCCGCCGCAGTTCAACCTTTCGCTGCCGGGCAGCGTGTCTGGTGATAATGACTCCAATGCCTCCTCCAGCATGACCGGGGTTCATCCATTACGCTCAAGGAGGAGGCATGACTCTTTGGCGGATTTCCCATGCCCCTGGGTCCACCGCCCACGGGCCACATCCTCCTCCTCCTCAGCAGCAGCAGCCGCAGCAGCAGCAGCCCGCCGACGACCAGTCGCAGTCGCATCATGTCGCGCATCTTTAAAGATACAACAGATATATATATATACAAATATATCCCTAGAGATATATTATGTATATGTTAGGACCCCTGTATATATGACTTTTTGTGAAAAAGTTTCGGCTCCAGCTCCAGCTCCTTCCAGGCGACAAACCACGACCAGAGGCATTTAATACCAAAGCAATAACCGTTATGTAATATAATTTTAAAACATTCAAAACGTACTATTTTTTTTCTACTCTAAAAAACTAAACAAAAACCACCCCTTGGCCCACACACACACACGAACGTAAACCTCCCCTTGATTTTTTTTGTGCTTGTAATTTATATATTAATTATAGATATATATATAGTATATATATACCTATGTGTAGTAATAATCGGACACACGTTTTCCAGTGTATTTTCTAGCAAGTAATTTAAAATTAACATTAACAAAGTGAAGAAGAAAAAGAAAAACAGAAAAAAATATTTAAAAATGACAAAAATTCACACAAAAATAAGCAAAATTATACTCTAATTAATCTCTATATATATATATAACTAGATATATATATATGCGAATACGATGTATATGTGGTTGCGAGTGAATGAGTGCGTATTTTGTTCATCGATGTACATTTTTTTTATATAGAAAATCTAGAAATCTAGCCCTAAAGACGAACACTTGTAAAAATTCTCTACTTTATGGTACGCATAAAATATAGTCCTTGATTTCCTTTATCCCTTTATTACTATATTATTATTTCCATTTTTTTGCCTAGACATAATTTCTATTAAATGTAATTTAAAAACGAGAAAAAACGAAAAATAATCAAATTTTTTTACATACATAATAAATCTATATATATATATTATATATATAAATGTAAAACACAAATTTTTTTTAAACAATTTTAGAACTAAGCTCAGCGAAAAAAAATTGGCAAAAAAATAGACGAGGAAAACGAAGGTTTAATGAAGAAAGAGAGCTGCAAATTTGTACGTAAAACTTCAAGAGAAATATAAAGAATATATATAAAAGGAGGATATAATAAAAGATATAAAAAAGGAAGCAATTAAAAAGAGATGGATACCGAAACAACAACAAACAAAACTAGATTTAGAAGACTGAAGAACTGAGAACGAAAAAGAAATAATAATTTAAAAACAAACAAAAGACAGAGGCAACCGAAAGAGACACTGAGCGAAAAATCGGACCCTGAGTGAAGGCGAGCATTTTTTTTACTAAATTGTTTTTTTGCTGTTGATTTTCGTTATTTGATTGGAAACTAAAAAAAAGAAAGAAATCTTAGAAAACAAGAAATGAAAATTTTGATTAATGATTAAATATTTAATATTGTTTGTTTTTAGCGCAAAAATTACACACCCACATATATATATATCTATATATTGGACATTAGTTTAAACTTTGTTTGTTTCTTTTCTTCTTTTTTTTTTTGGACACACATTCCCCCCTTCCCCTAAAAAAAACCCACCAAAAAAAAAAAGAGGAAATCTAAAATCCCACTGGCAATGTGATTTCAACTGAATTTTAATAATATTAATATTAAATTCCTGCTAAATCGCATTGCTACTGGCGATTTGTAGTCCGATTATCAAGGAAGTTTTACCGTGCATAATTTGTACTAAATTTAAGCGAAATATATATGTGTTTCACAACCCCCGACACACCCTATATACTATATATGAATATGGCAACAACAAAAACTGAATAAACAAAAGCCCAAGAAAAATACAAACCACACGAGTTATGTTTCATTTTTATAAATATTATTATGGTTTGTTTTCTAGATTTTTTAATGTAATTTTCCCAAGCAAAAAACAGTGGAAAAATGTGGAATAAAACGGAAGCGGAAACAGAAACCGAAATGGAAACGGAACGAATTGAAACATAGCCAGCAAGCAACACTAAAACTATCATTAAATCTTAGAAAATTAATTGTAGCTATAAAAAAAACAAAACAAAATCTTTATACTAAAATAAAACCCAGAATAGGACAACAAATCCAGCTAACTGTTGTTGTCTCATTTTGGCCGAAGAATAAGTATAAAGCTTGGATTCTCAAAACATTTATAACAAAGAAACCAAAACGAATATTTTTCAAGTGTGTGTAATTTTTTGAAAGTAACAATAATTAATCGAAAACGGAAACACAAATCGAAAGGAAAACCAAATAAACAGAATAAAATAAATCAACACAAAAAAAATAACAAAAACCAAACAAAATTTAAAAAGTAATAATTAAAAGATAGTTGTCTGTGTTACAAAAATACGAAAAACGAAAAAACCAAAAAATACATACAAATTGCGAAGAATTGTAAATTATCAAAAGACTTTTATTTGCCATATTAGAAGGATCTCCTCCTTTGGCATAGGGAGGGTTTTATGGTTGGAGGTACTTTTTTATAGCAACCCGCAGCCTGAAAGTAGGCACCACGAAAATAGGGAGGAACCGATCGTGCTGTTCGAAAAGCGTTGCTACTTCAGAGGGACACACCAGATGGCGCCTCGGCAGGGTGTCAGGCTCGTTCCATTTCCCTCTCGCTCACTCGAGCATTCGACCAGAGCTGACCAATCCAACGCACTGGCCGCCCCCAATTGTCATGTGCGAAAACTTCAATTGGCATCTGGCAGGCACACACACACACACACACTATCCTGCTGCCAGCCGAACCTCACATATGTCGCGCTGCCGGCGTCGCAGTCAGCAAGCCACCCGCACACACACACACACCAACCGCGTCCACTGGCCAGTTCCAACCAGCGCGGTCGAGCATGTTCGAAGAGAGAGGCAGAGAGAGGCGGTCGAGGTTGCAAACGGACACCAGTTGAAGTTCGCAGCCACCAGTGTTTTTTCATACACTTGCATGGTATTAAAATTTTAGTTGGAAAATCGAAAACGCAATGAAGGAGTCATTTCCGACCTATAAATATATATATCTAGATCAGCATCAACAGGCGAATCTTTTAAGCCATCTCCGGCCGAAAAATTTTTTTTCCGAAATTTCCCATTTTTGTAAAAAAGGAAAGGGGTTACATCATGAAAAATTGCGAAAATCGGACAAAAATTCACATTTTAAATGGAGTATGCAGTTTTGTTAACCTGCTAAAAATTAGCATACGGCCGCTTTCCGAATTGAAATTAATGCGTGTTTGGCTTAGTTATGAGATTTTTAAATTTGATTTGTCGAAAAATTTCATATAATAATATCGTTAATATCGGTACAAAAATGGTAATGGACCTTCAATCAGAAGCTGAAAAGAAAGTGAAGGAGTCATTTCCGACCCTATAAATCATATATATTCTTGATCAGCATCAACAGGCGAATCTTTTAAGCCATCTCCGGCCGAAAAAAATTTTTTCCGAAATTTCCCATTTTTGTAAAAAAGGAAAGGGTTACATCATGAAAAATTGCGAAAATCGGACAAAAATTCACATTTTAAATGGAGTATGCAGTTTTGTTAACCTGCTAAAAATTAGCATACGGCCGCTTTCCGAATTGAAATTAATGCGTGTTTGGCTTAGTTATGAGATTTTTAAATTTTGATTTGTCGAAAAATTTCATATAATAATATCGTTAATATCGGTACAAAAATGGTAATGGACCTTCAATCAGAAGCTGAAAAGAAAGTGAAGGAGTCATTTCCGACCCTATAAATCATATATATTCTTGATCAGCATCAACAGGCGAATCTTTTAAGCCATCTCCGGCCGAAAAAAATTTTTTTCCGAAATTTCCCATTTTTGTAAAAAAAGGAAAGGGGTTACATCATGAAAATTGCGAAAATCGGACAAAAATTCACATTTTAAATGGAGTATGCAGTTTTGTTAACCTGCTAAAATTAGCATACGGCCGCTTTCCGAATTGAAATTAATGCGTGTTTGGCTTAGTTATGAGATTTTTAAATTTTGATTTGTCGAAAAATTTCATATAATAATATCGTTAATATCGGTACAAAAATGGTAATGGACCTTCAATCAGAAGCTGAAAAGAAAGTGAAGGAGTCATTTCCGACCCTATAAATCATATATATTCTTGATCAGCATCAACAGGCGAATCTTTTAAGCCATCTCCGGCCGAAAAAAATTTTTTTCCGAAATTTCCCATTTTTGTAAAAAAAGGAAAGGGGTTACATCATGAAAAATTGCGAAAATCGGACAAAAATTCACATTTTAAATGGAGTATGCAGTTTTGTTAACCTGCTAAAAATTAGCATACGGCCGCTTTCCGAATTGAAATTAATGCGTGTTTGGCTTAGTTATGAGATTTTTAAATTTTGATTTGTCGAAAAATTTCATATAATAATATCGTTAATATCGGTACAAAAATGGTAATGGACCTTCAATCAGAAGCTGAAAAGAAAGTGAAGGAGTCATTTCCGACCCTATAATCATATATATTCTTGATCAGCATCAACAGGCGAATCTTTTAAGCCATCTCCGGCCGAAAAAATTTTTTTCCGAAATTTCCCATTTTTGTAAAAAAAGGAAAGGGGTTACATCATGAAAAATTGCGAAAATCGGACAAAAATTCACATTTTAAATGGAGTATGCAGTTTTGTTAACCTGCTAAAAATTAGCATACGGCCGCTTTCCGAATTGAAATTAATGCGTGTTTGGCTTAGTTATGAGATTTTTAAATTTGATTTGTCGAAAAATTTCATATAATAATATCGTTAATATCGGTACAAAAATGGTAATGGACCTTCAATCAGAAGCTGAAAAGAAAGTGAAGGAGTCATTTCCGACCCTATAAATCATATATATTCTTGATCAGCATCAACAGGCGAATCTTTTAAGCCATCTCCGGCCGAAAAAAATTTTTTCCGAAATTTCCCATTTTTGTAAAAAAGGAAAGGGGT